GGGAGGGAGGGAGGGACAGAAAAAGAGAGAGAGAGAGAGAAAGGAAAGAAGGAAGGAAAGAAGGAAGAAGAAAGGAAGGAAGAAAGAAACTGGGCAGTGGTAGCACATACCTTTAATCCCAGCACTCTGGAGGTAGAGGCAGGCGAATCTCTGTGAGTTCAAGGCCAGCCTGGTCTACAGAATGAGTTCCAGGACAGTCAGGGCTACACAGAGAAACTGTGTCTTGGAAAAAGAAAAAAAGACGAGGTATAATGTGTTTATCTGTAATCGTAGCATCAGAGAAGCTGAGGCGGCAAGAGGATTGCTGGGGCCTTTGAGGCAAGTCAAGACTACAACGCTAGGTCCTACCTGGGGCGGGGCAAGATTTCTTCCCCCACTTGTAATCCCAGCATTCTGGAGGCAGAAGCAAAAGGATCCATAAGTTCTTTGTCAGCTTGGACTGCAGAGCGAGCTCCATATCAGCCAGGGTTACACTGTAAAGTAAGATCTTGTGGAAAGAAGATGGAAGGGAGGGAGGAGGGAGGGAGGGAGAAAAAATGGGAGGGCTAGTGAGATGGCTCTTCAGGGGAAGGCGCCTGACACCAAGCCTAATTAATGGCTTGAGTTTCATTCCTCTGGACCCACATGGTGGAAGGAGAGAACCAACTCTCACAAGCTGTCCTGTGACCTCTATATATACTCTCATACGTATACACACACACAAACACACACACACACACACACACACACACACATACTAAAAGTTAAAATGTAAAAAGAAACAAATAAAATTTGGGCTCAGATTCCTTCAGGTTCTAAGATGTGAAGGGCTGGGTTTCTGGCGATCCAGAAGCCTTGTAGTCTGGGCCCTGTATCCTTCCCCACCCCCAGTTCATCCTTGGCTCTCTCTCTCTCTCTGTCCCCCTTTTCCCTTGTGGCTCCCACAGACATGATGCAAGCAGACTGGAGCGGACTGAGAGGTGGGAGCAGGAGCGAGATGTAATTACAGCTGCTTCTGCCTCCATTCTACAGGAAGCTCAGAGTTGGGGCCCAGGGGACCCTAATCCAATGCACTTGCCAGACTCCCCCAAGACCTTCTGGGGAGGAAACCCCAGTGAGCCACTTCAGGAGACTGAGAGGCCAGTCTCCATTAGCAAAAAATGTCTGATTCTGGAATGGGGTGGAGTCTATGGGAGTCTGAGTAGAATGGTTTTGAACTAAATAAGTAAAGCCTTTCCCCCCTGGTTTTGTGTGTGTGTGTGTATACGCATGTGTGTGCACACACATACACATATGTATATGTTCATGTATGCATAGGTGCATGTTTGCTCATGTGTGTGTATGCATACGTGCGTGCAAAGGTATGCAAGCATGTCTTTGTGTGCATAGTAAATGTTCGAGTGCAAGTGCACATATACACACGCATGTGTGCATGTGAAGGCCAGAAAACAACCTTAGACATTGTTCTTCAAAAACCATTTCCCTTTTTTTTGTTTTGTTTTGTTTTGTTTTGAGATAGGGCTTTTCTGTGTAGCCCTGGCTGTCCTGGAACTAACAGAAATCCGCCAGCCTCCCTAGTGCTAGGATAAAGGCATGCACCACCACAGTCTCCCGCCCCCCACCTTTTTTTGTGAAGGGTCTCTCCTTAGGACCTAGGCTTGCCAGTTTAGCTAGACTGCATGGCCAGTGACTAGTCTCAGCAACCTGTCTGTCTCTGCCTGGGATTACAACTGTGTTCTACCATTCCCAGACTTTTTTTTTTAATAAAGATTTATTTATTTATTATGTATGCATTGTATGCCTGCACACTAGAAGAGGGCACCAGATCTCATTAAAGGTGGTTGTGAGCCACCATGTGCTTGCTGGGTATTGAACCCAGGTCCTCTGAGCCATCTCTCCAACCCCCCATTCCCAGTTTTGTTTTGTTTTTTTTTGTTTTGTTTTGGTTTTGGTTTTTCAAGACAGGGTTTCCCTGTGTAACAGTCCTAACTGTCCTGGAACTAGCTCTTGTAAACCAGGCTGACCTGGAACTCACAGAAATTTGCTTGCCTCTGCCTCCCAAGTGCTGGGATTAAAGGTGTGCACCACCACCACCTGGCCTCATTCCCAGCTCTTTAGTGGGTGCTAGGGATTAAACTCATGCCCATTTATTCATGTGACAAACAGTTTGCTACCTGAGCCATCATCCTAGTCCCTTAACTAGTTTTTTCTTCCTCTTGTTCTTCCTCTTGTTGTTGTTCTTTTTCTTTTTTTTATTTTGTTTTTTGTTTTGTTTGTTTGCTTGTTTGTTTGTTTTGAGACAGGGTTTCTCTGTTTCTCTGTGTAGCTTTGGAGCCTGTCCTGGAACTCGCTCTGTAGGCCAGACTGGCATCGAACTCACAGAGATCCTACTGCCTCTACCTTCCAAGTGCTGGGATTAAAGCCTTGCGTCCCCACTGCCCAGCCCCTCGCTAGTTTCAATGGCAACGCTTCCTTTTTCATTCCACTTTGAGTCCTTAAGCAGCCCCCAAGGGGAGTGACAACTCAGACTCCTTAGCCCGCTGTTCTGTAACTATTCCTCCAGCCAAAGTCATTCTCTACAGAAGGAAAGAACATCCTAACACACAGGAAACTTCGAGGCTCAGGAAGCTCAGAAACTCATTAAATTCCCAAGGCCCCTCTGCGGGGAACAGAAGTGCACAGTTGCTGGGGAAGGAGCCCCTTCATGGAGCTGATCACACATGAGGATGGGAGCTCCAGAGACGCAGCTTTCCTGAGTCATCACCCACGCCATGGTGGATTTTTGGTGATGTGGCCAGTTTTGAGTCACTAACGTTCCTGTAAGTGACTTCGATAAACTAATTGACTCCCCAGGCTAGATCCAGGTGCAATCATTTTTTTTTTTTTTGTCTGTCACTGATAAAACAGATATTTGTTTGTGGATGCCTCCCAAGGAAGAGTCACATGGCAAGGGCTCAATGACGCACCCTGGGAGCTTTGTCCAGCTTGAAGCCTTATGAAGTTCCAGGGAAGGCCAGGCATGTCGACACACACCAGTAATTCTAACATTCGAAGGGTCGAGGCAAGAAGATAGTGAGTCTAGACTGCATAGTAAAACCCCATGTTTAAAAGAAAAAAAAAAAAAAGAACCTGGCAGTGGCACGTGCCTTTGATCCCAACACTCAGGAGGCAGAAGCAAGTAGATCTCTGTGAGTTTGAGGCCAGCCTAGTCTGAAGTGTGAGTTCCAGGACAGGCTCCAAAGCTACACAGAGAAACCCTGTCTTGAAAAACAAAACAAAAAAATTACCCTCAGGAAAGCCGGAAATAAGTGCTTTGATGAGAAGTATCATTTCTGTGTTGCAACCAAATCAACATATTTAACCATCATCCAGGCCAAAAATAGCCTCCAACCACAAGAGCAAGCCACATAGACACTGCTCCAGAGAGTGCTTTGGAAAGTACAGCAGGGGTCCTCTGTCCTCACAGTTAGAAAAAATAGTTGAACTGGGTCCCACAGGACCCCAGATTAGGATAACAGCAGGGGGATGCAGAGGGGGCACATTATTTGTTCCTTCTGCCATCTAACCACATGATTCTTACCTAGGTTCCCAAATTTTATCAACCCTGCACCCCAGCCCAGATGTTCCTTCCACAAGGAGCCCCTCTATGGCCCCCTCAAGCTGAGCCAGGAGCTCTCTCTCTGAACTCTCTCACCTCTGTTCTGCCCAGTGGAGGCTACCATCTAGAGTCCCCAGAACCAGGGCTCCCTCTGCCATAGCCACAACCCCAGTTTTGCCCAAGACAGGACTATTCAGAGTGTATATCCAGAGACGCTTTGGAAGAGTGAATGGGTGGGTGAGTGGATGGATTAAGAAGGTCAGTGCTTGAAGACAGGAGGTTAGAGGAGAGAGGCCTGCAGCAGCAGCTGCTCCGTGAAAGAGGAGAGCCAGATGTGGTGGCGCAGGCCTTTAATCCCAGCACTCAGGAGGCAGAAGCAGGTGGATCCCTGAGTTCCAGGTCAGCCTGGTCTTCAGAGAGAGTTCCAGGACAGCCAGGGCTACACAAAGAAACCCTGTCTCAAGAGAAAACAAAACTTGAAGGAAAAAAAAAAAGAGTAAAACAAGGACTGATGAAATTGCTTAACGGGAAGCGTTTGCATAGAATCCCCCAGTGAGTCGCTGTGGCATGACTCAGTAGTTAATAGTTTGTTTGCCCTGGGTTCAAATCCTGTACCTAAAAAGTTGGGGAGGCTGGGCATGTTGGTGCACTGCTTTAATCCCATCACTCAGGAGTCAGAGACAGGCAGATCTCTGTAAACTCGAGGTCTACCTGGATTAAAAAGCAAGTTTCAGGATAGCCAGGTCTATGAAATGAGATCCTGAAAAAAAAGGGGGGTGGGTGTTTCAGGAAAGTTTTTTTCTGTGCTTAAGAGCAAATACTGCTTTTCCAAAGGATCAGGGTTTGATTCCCAGCACCCACATAGTACAGCTCACAATTCCTCTAACTACAGCTTTAGGGGATCTGACACCCTCTCCTCTGGCCTCTCTAGACACCCGCACTCATGTGCATATACCCACACACAGATACACATATGCAAAATTAAAAAAATTGTTTTTAAAGTAATCCAGTGGTAGGCGCAACAAGATGTGAAACCTGAACGGATTTTTCAGGGGCTGAGCAGAGGTTCCTAATTCCCCGCTAGGAGGGAGTGCAGGAGATGAGGCAGCTAGGCTACAGGGAGCTTGAAGTTCGTGCCTCAGTCTTGACCTCTCAGCTGTGTAACTAAGAAGAGGACTACCCTTGACTCAGTTCCTTCAGCTGTGAAATGGTATCTTGCAGGTAGCCAGCTATTCTCAAGCTGATGGGAACTGAAAAAAGGAGCAGGGCTGAGTACTCATTTCTTGTGGGGTTGCAGTGCTTCACATCCACATAGCTCACACTCCACACACGCTCAGAAAGAAAGAGAAGGGACGGACTCAGGCTCCCCCAAAGGTGGCCCCTATGCTCTGCCCCTGCCTCTTCCCCTAAAGTGCAGGCACCACCAAGTCATCAAGTTTATTAGATTCATACTTCGGCAGGGGAGGATAAAGCTGTCTTGAGAGCTCAGAGAAGGATGCAAAAGAGTCGCTTGTCACGAAAGGGATTCTCGGCGGCGGGAACAGGAGTCACCAGTGGATCATCCTTAGCGTGCGTCTCGCAGAAAGCCAGAAGCTCGGCCGCCGCCTGCGACACCTGCAGGCGAGGTGTAGAGATGCAGTCGACCCGCCCTAATTACTTGGTCCCCGGGCGAACGCCCAAATCCCCGCCCCGTGTTTTGACCACGCCTTGTCTGACCACGCCCCCGGGTCGAGCCCCACCCTCCCACGCCTCCTCATTTCCCAGGCTCCTCCCCCAACAGAGCCTGGCGCAGACCCTCCCCCAAACGATTTCCCCCACGGATCTGCGCACCTTCATGCGATCGATGTTCACTTCCAGCTTCAGCTGCTCCACGGTCTTGCGAGCTTCAGCGATTTTAGCCATGTTGTTGGACATGGCTGCCGCAGAAAAAGGGTTAAATGCCTGGCAGGAGCGGGGCCTGGGGCCTGGGGCCTGGAACACGTCTGGATCCCCCGGGGAGTAGTGAGAAGTAGTGGTGCGACCCAGTAACAGGAGAAGTGGTTGGGATTACGAGCAAATGGGGTCCCAGAGACAGAGGAAAGGGTGACGACTCAAGAGGAGAACAGGAAGATGGAGGGGTATCCGGATGGGGATACCCACCAAGAGGCCGCTGAAGGAAGAGCAGAGGGGCCAGGAAAGGAAGGAGGGAGACACAGATGGGAGACTGAGAGGCAGGTGGAGGAGGCAGGGCCAGAAGGACAGGGCCACAGGTGCTTGATCAGAATCTACTGATCCAGGTGCCCTCACCCCCTGGGGATAGAGCTTGAGCCAAGGGGAGGGGGTAGCTCCCCAGGCCAATTAGCAGCGACTCCAGGGAGAACTGAGAATTAAGATCTCGGCGGGAGGGGAGCAGAGGGGGCCTCATTAGGGCCTCAACAGCAGCTGCCCCCCTCTGCCACCCTCAGGGACCCACCCCTGCCCCAGCCTTGGCTACCTCAAAGGCTCCTCTGCTCATTAGCAGGCAGGGGAAAGGGTTGGGGCAAGTCAACCCAGTCAGCTTTGCAAAGGGGTGTTGAGGATAGAGAGGGGCACAAAAGGGTGTTGAGGAAAAGCCGGGGGAGGGGACACAGTGACAAGAGAGACAGGCATGGAGAAGGGAAATAGACTGAAGATGGAGACAGAGATATTGGGGGAGAGATGATGAAGGAAGATGATAGGGAGAGGAGGGGAAAAGGAAGGTATAGGGAAGAAGGAGATACAGGGGAAACGGGAACAGAGGAACAGAGGAGACAGGAGAGAAGGGACCTGGAGAGAGGAGGACACCGCAGGATTAGAAAGAAAATGGAACAAGGAAAGAGGAGAGGGGCGGTGAGGGATAAGTAGAAGGACAGAGAGGATGGTGAGGACACAGAGAACTATAAAGTCATCGATTCCTTCCTTCAACCATTCACTCATTCAATCGCGGACGGACAGATGGCAGCCACCAAGCAGCTACCTGACCCGGACAGGAGCCTCCTACCTGTTGCAGCTCAGGGTTGGGATGACTGGCGGGCGACAGAGGCTGAGAGAGGCAGCGGCTGGTCCCCTTCTCAGTCCCGCCCTCTCCCCTGGGGTGCAGCCCCTCAGGACCGCCTCCTTCTCCTAGGCACCACCTGTCTCCACGCCCTAGGTCTGTTTCTCTGAGTCCTCTCCTTGCTATGTATCTTCTCCTTTTCTCCCTCTCTCTCCGTTTTTCAGTCACTCTTGTTTCCCACATGTCTTTCTCTGGAGTCCCTCTTTCACACTGGCAGGAAAACACGGACCCTTCAGGTGTATGTATCTATGCACATAAGCCTCTCCCGGGTGTTCCACGCAGCCTCTCACTCCTTCACACGCAAAGCAGTCACCTCAGCATCCCCCCATCTCAGTGACTCACTCCGCGGCACACAGACTCAAGTCACTCACACAGGGATGCTCACTACCTTGCTGGGCCACTGGATAGTGCTACAGTGCTCGACACAGCGCGCAATGCCAAAGGTCTCGACATACCAACTGCCGCTGTCACTCATGATGTCTCAGAGCATAGCACGCCATCGCCAATGACGGCTTGCACCACTGCAGTCAGGTACCCTATCTTAGAGTGTCAAGTGTATGGATGTTGCCAGCCACAAGTGCAGTTTTAGCTTCTCTTGAAGGTCCCATTCACACTTTCTCAACATCTCACACGGTGACATACAATAACTCGTTCAGAATGTCTGCCAAGCACTCCATTGCTTAGTGCAGCATAGGACCACATGGTTTTCTTTCCACGGGTGCCTGTGTGGGGCAATGTTTGCTCTTGGTCAATTTGCTGATACACATGGCACACAGTTCACACACACACACACACACACACACACACATACACGAGTCTTTGCTGGGCCTCACAGTCTATATTACAAATGCTTATCATCCTCACACGCTGTCTCTCTGGTCCTCACTCACCTTTGAGTTCCCAACCACACACTTTTGCAACGGCAACCGCAAACACAGGCCAACAACCTCTCGCTGTCACGTGATCACCCAGTTTCTTAAGATCCACCAGTGTAGCAGACACACTGTTTTACATTCACACAGTTGACCACACCAGGTTCACCTCGTGCCATCACTTGGGTGACTTCACTCTGCTCCTGTAACACATATGGATTTCCTTACAGACAGTTGACAATACGGACAGGCTCCAGGAAGTTTCTCTCTCAGACCCAATGCCACACATAGTGGCCCACAATCTCACCGATAATCTCAGTGTCACATGACACCTCACTCTGACAGTCCAACTCAATCCCTCCTTGTCATTCCTAATCTCACTGTGTCACACAGTCCCACACCACGTCTGAGACGTGCCCTCACACTGAACGTCGCGTGGGACACCACAGCCATCACTTGCATGGTCGCTCACCCTCGCCGCCCTCAAGGCCCCACTGCTGGCCACACGGGGGCGCCCTCGAGCCAAAGTCTCTGGAGGAGCGATAGCAGAAGCAGTGAAGACAAGGCATCCCCACCCGCTTTGCAGAAGATAGAAACCGGAGATCTAGGGGACCCGAGAAGCATGTGAGAGAAGGGAGGTGGGTTCCTACGAAGGCGAAAGAAGTGCGGGATTAGAGGGAGTGGAAGAGAACTTCAGAGAGAGGTGAGAGGGGCAGAGAAACTAAGTACGGAGAGAGACAGGACAGACGGGAGGGATAGGGAGAGGTGGCAGGAGACAGACACACAGACTGGGACTTGGAGACAGACACTCAGAGAACGAGCCAGGACGGTCAAAGGACAAGAAATTCATAGTGCGCTTTCCCGGCCGGCCCACAGGGCGAGGCCGGACTGTAGAGGGGACGTGCTGTGGGTGTGGCCAAGGGCGGGACTTAGCGGGGGTGTGTTGGACGGGGCGTGGCCTGTAGGGGAGTGAGGGCGGGGCTTGATGCTCCTTCCCTTTTTGGCTCGCAGGGATCTGGAACCCTGGGAAAAGGTGGAGTCGGGAGAGGTGTCTCTGTCGCAGACCGCTCAAACCCCACTCGGTTTTCACCTCCTGTACCGGGAAGCCAGACTGGTCGGGGAAAGATATCAGTCTCTGATAGCTCCCGCGCCCCCAGTACTGAATCCAAAGTCTTATCTCGCGCTAAGTAAGAGTTCTATCACTAAGCTACATCTACAGTCCTCTTTTGACTTTTTCATTTTGAGACAGTTTTCTTTAGTTGCGTTAGAATAGCCTTGAACTTACTCTGTGGCCCAGGCGACCCTCCTGCCACAGCCATCCCTAGGGAGCTGGGACGACAGGCCTGAGCTGCGTTGATGGCTTTTTGGAACTGGGAGTATGGGACCCTGGCTCCCTGCCCCCTCCCTCGTGGGCTCACAGGGCCAGGTTGGAAGGAGAACACGGCCCACATCTGGAAAACATCAGGCGCGCCGGACGTGCCAGGGCCCCGGGCCGGGGCTGCGGGAGGGGGAGGGGAGTCAAAGAGCTCCCCCCTCCACACACACACACACACCAGCCAAACGGTGTCTGCCGGCGCCGAGGAGGGGCCTGGGCTTGCCCTGAGCCCGGCGCCTCCTGCAGCTGGTTTTCATCCCCAGATCTGGCCTAGGGTGCCCCAGAGGAGGAAACCCAGCTTACTTAATGCTGGAAAGACAGGGTGGGGTGACGACCCCGTCTCCAGACCAAAGGCTAGAGGAAGGAAAAGGGAGGACAGACGGACACGGAATGGTTAACCTCCAGCTCCCTTCTAATCTACAGACCTCAGCAGCCTCTCCATTATTTAAATATATATATTTAAATTATATGAACTTATATTTTACTTATTTATTGTGTGTGTGCAGAGGTGTGTGACTACACCACAGCCTCGGTGGTGTAGAAGTCAGAGACATGTTGTGAACCTTGGTTCTCTTCCCATCATGTGGGTCCCAGGGTGGAACCCAAGTCCTCAGGTTGGTGGCAAAGGCCTTCAAGTATTATAAGCATCTTAAATACATCCAGAACCCACAAACTCCCTCCATCTTCACTCTTTTTGGCTCCCACATCTGGCCTTTTTCCTCTGACCCTGTCGACCTGTTTCTTGTAGAGAAGTTACAAGGCCTTTGTCTCAAAACAAGTCTCAGAGTACCTGCAATCCTGGCACTGAGGGGCACTGCAGAGGATGAGCCTGGAAGACTGGAAATTCCAGGATAGCCTGGACTACACAGTGCATTCCACCTTAGCTGGTGCTAGAGAGTGGGACTCTGCCTAGAAAGGGTGGTGGGAGAGGGGACTGGGGGGTGTGTCTCAGCTGGTAGTGTCTCCTAGCATGTAGGAAACCATGGATGCCACATACCTGTAATGCCAGCATTCAGTATGGAGTCAGCCTTAGTTACATAGCAATTTTTTCTTTTCTTTTCTTTCTTTCTTTCTTTCTTTTTTTTTTTTTAAGATTTACTATTTATTGTGTATACAGTGTTCTGCCAGCATGTATGCCTGCAGGCCAGAAGAGGGCACCAGATCTCATTACAGATGGTTGTGAGCCACCATGTGGTTGCTGGGAATTGAACTCAGGACCTCTGAAAGAGCAGTTAATGCTCTTAACTTCTGAACCATCTCTCTAGCCCCATATTTTATTTTCTTAAAGATTTATTTTATATGTAAAAGCGTTTTGCTTGTATGTATGTATGTGCTCCATGCAGGTACCCATGAAGTGTGAGCCACCATGTGGGTGCTGGGAACTGAACCTAGGTCCTCTGCAATCACAGAAAGTGCTCTTAACCATTGAGCCATTTCTCCTTCCCCCAAAGATTAATTTTTATTATTAAAATTTTTTAGTTTTATTTTTGAGTATGAGTGTTCTGTTTGAATGTATGCCTGTGCACATGTGTATCTCAAGCCCATGAAGGTCAGAAGATGGTGTTAGATCCCCTGGAGCTGGAGTTATAGACAGTTGTGAGTCACCATGTGGGTGCTGGGAATTGAACCCAGGTCCTCTGCAAAAAGTGCTCTTAACCACTGAGCCAAATTTCCAGCTTCTATCGCAAGCTTAAGAGGACCAGAACAAGTAGAGGTGTTGTCAGGAGGCTGGTGAGGTGGCTAGCCTGGAACTCACTATATAGACTGGCTGGCCATAAACTCAGGAGATCCTCCCGTCTTTACCTCCTGACCACTGGAATGGGCACCATCACTCTTGGCCTGAACTGTGTACTTCATATGGGTGGATTTTATAGTGTACAAATTACATTTCAATGAGGTTTTTAACTCCTCTCATGAAACAAGACAAAACTGAAAACTGACTGGTAAAATGAAAAACAAATTTCTCTTCTGCCCAGGTTTCTCCAGCGTCTTCCATACTTAAAGCCCTGCCAATGGCCAGGCGGTAGTGGCGCACACCTTTAATCCTAGCACTCGGGACGCAGAAGCAGGTGGATCTTTGTGAGTTCGAGGCCTACAGAATGAGTTCCAGGACAGCCAGGACTGTTACACAGAGAAACCCTGTCTCAAAAAAACTAAAAGAAAAAAGAAAAAAAAAAAAGAAGAAAGAAAGAAGAAAGAGCCCTGTCTATGGCTTCAGGTTCCTATTCAATGCCCAACATGGCTAGTGTCTCTTGTACTCCTTCTTCTTTTCCCTGGCCTTGGTGCTGGCTACTTAATCTGCTCGGTACAGCATTGCCTCAGGGCCTTTGCACAGCCACTTCCTCAGGCAGCTGCTCAAATGTTGCTGTGCCTCCTTTTGAGGAGATGGACTATGGAG